GTTAATTATTATTACTCATTATTATTATTATTAATTATTATTATTATTATTATTATTATTATTATTATTATTATTATTATTATTATTATTATTATTATTATTATTATTATTATTATTATTAATATTTATTATTAATATTATTATTAGTATTATTATTAGTATTATTATTATTAATAATATTATTATTAATATTATAATTATTAATATTTATATTAATAATATTATTATTAATATTATAATTATTAATATTTATGTTTGAAGAAAGGGTTTTGAAAATATTATAATTTCTATTATAGTTATTAACTTTTTCACTAAAATTCTTTAAATCAATCTCTTTGAGTGCAGTTCTATTTAATTGAAATTGATCTTCTAATTTTTCATCAATTTTGCGTGTGTCAATTTGGTCAATTGGTGTAGTATTTCTTGGACTTTATTATATTGTTCACTGTTTAATGAATTTGATTCCGGGGCTACATATCCATACAATAATTTGCAAAAGGTTTCGTCATCATCACTTTGTTTAAATTGCTAATATTTGAGATTAAATTAAAAAATTTATATAAATATAAAAAATTTAAAATTATATTTTGATTCAGGTTCACTATGAGATCCTCCTTGTTGGAAAGCTTTATTCGTAATTCATTTGCAATAACTTTATATTTTTCCATTTCTTTGTTCTTTTCTTTAATTTTAATAAAATGAGAACTATTCATATTTTTTTCTAAATAATAATAAATAAAAAAGGTTAATAACTTTGATTTTTTTTTAAATTGAAAAATTTAAAAGTATTTCTGCTACATACTATTATCACCATAACTTTTATTTTTTCACCATTATGTATATAATGTAAAAAATCTGCATATGATTGAATTGGTGGTTGTGATGCATCTGGAGCATTAAATCCATTGTCGCTCATTCTAATATCCAGCTCTGCCTTATCGCTAATCAAGTCATAAAGTTTCTCTCTATAAAGTTCGAGATATGATTCTCTAACTGTAAATATAACACAATCTGATGACAAATAGTTAACCCTGTTCAATAAATCTATGATGAAACGTGGTGTGATACCATAGCCTTCCTGTCCTGTAAGTGGTAATTCATCGCCAATATCTTTACCAAACTGTGTATATGTTTTATCTGCTCCAGTTTGACCATATGCAATAATACCAACATTAAATCCATTTAAAACATCTAAATTTCATTAAAGTAATAAATACAATAAACTATTAGTATACTATGTATGATTATAAAGTATTTTATTAACTATATGTATATAATTAACCTACCATCGACCAATGGTCTTGCGACTTCATTATAGAACGATTCTTGGGTAGTTGTTGGTTGAAAAACTTTTGAAAACCTATATGCTGTTGAATTTTGGGGTGATGTGATATGAATAGTACGACCATCCTCGCCTATTGTTAACTTTTTTTCTGATGATGATAAATTTTTTCTGTTTGAATTTCTGGATGGAATCTACAATAAACCATAATATTTTCTTCTCTTTCATTATTTAATGATGATGGTTTTAAAAATGGTGTTGGAGTTATTGGTATTACTGTTGGTGGTGGGGTTGAATTTGATGATGATGATAAACTTGAAGATGATGTATTTAAATTTTGAACACTAGAAAATGCGGAATTTTGATTAGTTTTATCCAAATTTTTTAGTTCCTTTTGATGTTTTGGTGTTGTTATTGTGGTGATAGCATTTATATTACTATTATTAGAGATAGTGGTAGTGGTATACTGTGAAGGTGGTGGAGGAATTTTTGATTCTGTGGTTGAAATATTATTTTTTTTATTTCTTTTATACTATTAGCCACTCTTTATAAAGAGTGTTTCCAGCTCAACCACGGGGAGGTTAGTATATTTGAGCAGACAGCTAACTATTATACCGCCATGCACAGTATAATAATAAGCCCTTAGTGAAAGTTTGGTAATCTCAGATTACAGAATCAAGCGGGCCTGGTACTTCACACTTGAATCTCCATACTTGATAGCCATTAATAAGGTATACTTTGACATTAATAAATAATTAATTATTATTTGTTTACTATTTATTTAATATTTCATTTATTTATTATTATATTTATTTATTATTATGATTGATTTTTTTTAATTTTATACAAAAAATTTATTAAAACTATTGCTTTAGAAAAAAATAAAAATATGTAAATTTAAAAATGTGTTGTAAGATTACAAGGGGGGTGCATTTTTTTAAAAAAAATTAAGAAATAAAAATTTATAGATCACTTTTTTTTTATATATTGTAAGAGCGAATCAAGTTTGTGCAAATTTGAAATAAAAAAAAACCCACCAAATTTTTAACTTTTTTTCTCATTAAATTTTGATATAACAAATGTGTAGCAAACTTGAACAGCTTTAAAAATATATATTTATAAAATTCAAATAATTTTTTTAACTTTTCCCAATTTTTTTATTTTATTTTTATTTTTATTTTTATTTTTTTCAACTTTAAATTAATATACATCGTTGAAAAAATATAGAAAATAGACACAGATCCTCAAACATAATTTAAATTAACTTTTATTAATATTCAAAAGGCATATTTACCAATTAAACCATTCAATACCCCAACAGTATCTGCTGTTGTCGATATCATGAATGAAAGATTTTTAATCAAAAATATAAATATTTAGCATATGTTTATCAAATGCACAGCGAACTTATTAAAAGAGATTTTATACTATTTACAAGTAATAATAATAAATTTAAATAAGTGTATTATGTGGTTAAAATAATTAAAATATAATTTTTAAAAATAAAATATGTTTGAAAAAAAATATGCAAAAATTAAATAAAAATCTAAAGATTTTAATTATTTTAAGAAAAAAAAAAAAAAAAAAAATTAATTTTGAATTTTTTTAATTTTTTTTTTTTTTTTTTAAATTTATCATCATTTATTGTAAGCACTATTATAATAATAATAGCAACATATAATAATAGTAATGATTAATTTTTTTTTTCAAAATGGAAAAACAATATATATTAAGTGAAATACAAAGACACATCAGTTAAGGTAAATAATTACACATGCTATTTCTAAAATTGTTTAATATATAATGTTATACTAATTAAAAATGATATACAATTACTAAATTACTCACGTAGACGTATCACCAATATAGTTACAAATAAAATAAGTGATTATTCAATGGAATCTATACCAAATGGTAACATGGTACTGTCATTCGTTTTATATTCTATAATCAAACTATAATAATAATCAATATAAAGTTGGATGTAAAATTAAATCATGTTCGATACTGTGGAAAAATTGGATTCTATTCAATCATAAAGTATGTTCTGCTATTATATATAAATACAAATATAAAGTGATTCGATTCGATTATTAATTTAAAGTTAACAGGTTTATAGAAATGATTTAAGAGTATCAAATAATAGAGAATCAAATAAAATGATTATTATTCTAGAGAATTTTCCATGCATTGTAATGCAACTTCAAAACAGTTTAAATTTAAATTTATTGTTCCAAAGAACATTAAAACTGGTAATGTTAGCACAATTTCATTTGATTCTTTGGGAAGTAATAGTTATACAAAAGTTTTGCATTACCTTCTGCATATCAGTTAAGAGTTGCTTAATCAAAAAGTAAGTTTAAATAATTTATTTTTAAACATATATTTATATCATACCATACCTATTTACAAATAAAATAAATATATTAATTAATTTTTCATTTTATTGGATCATTAGTTTCAGATTTAAAGATATTAAAATTATAAAATGAAAATAAAATATTGAATGCATTAGAAATTACAGATAGTTCAAATAGTTTTAGACAATGATATTTTTTAGTTAGTTGTACAATTGATACTACCGAAAGAAATATTACAATAGATACATCCAACATTCCCAACCGCAGCTGCAACCACAATAAACCAATTCTACTTTAATATAATTTAAACATAAGATCATTGGGCTTTATGGTAAAAAGAAAATTATGGAATTTATTAGAAATTAAATTAAAAGTAAGTGGTAATAACATTTAGACTAATTGATTATTGTTATAGAGTAAATATATGTAATAACACTTTAAAATATTAATTATAATACAGGCAGATGAATATATTGAAAAAAGCTTTTTTTAGAGATGCAAGTTTAATTATTTTACTATACGAAAAGAAAAAAGAACAGCTACACATGTTTGATTTAGTAGAATGTGCACACTATTTAGATAATACAGAAGCATTGGAGTATTTCCTATCAATGAATGTACAAACATTTTTACCAAACTACACAATTAATAAAAAAAGTTTTTCAATATCAATTAAATCATTATAATTACAATTAAAATATCGAGTAAATATCATAGAACCATATAATATCAATATCAATAATATCAATAACAATAATAACACCAAAACAGATTCATCATCATCATCATCATTCAGTTTAAACAATAGTAATAATAATAATTATACAACAACAGTAGCATTAGCATTCCGTTTAAAAAATAGTTATAGTAACAATAATACAACAACAGCAGCACCAGAACCTACAACATTCAGTTTAAAAAATAGTAATAGTAACTATAATTTAAATAGTAGTATTAGTGAATATATCAATCTAAATAATAACAGTACCAGTTTGGCCCGAAGCGCAAGTTGTAGTAGTATAAGCAGTTGTAATAGTAATGATAGCAATGGGAGTAGCAGTAGTAGTGGTTGCAACAATAAAAACAGTAATGGCTTTTAATTAATAATAGTAATATAACACTTCCACCATCATCATATAGAAATTTAAATAAAGAAAAATTTAATTTAAGAGGAATTTAAATCGCCACCATTATATACTACTACATTTAAAAACATTAAATATCGGTAATATTCAAGAGACATTAGATAAGTTTCATTCAAACAGAGCTGACCACCCAAAGATTACCTATGAAGTTATAAAGAAATGTCTCGAGTATTCAAATATTAAAGATATAGAAAAACTATTTAGAGCAATCAGTACATATTCTGCAGGTATACCATTCAATAAACTCTCAATCAGTTTTATATGGAAGAAAGGATGTATATAGTTTAGTAATCAAATATGCCCTGATTTTTCGATCCGCTATCATATAGCCAATCCTTTGGACATTTAATTGTTTTAGGGTAAAAATTTATTTCGGCTCTTTATCTATTCTTTCTTTTTCTTTCTCTGTTTATTTTCTCGTCATATTTACACCGATCATTAATAATAAAACTTTTACTACAACATATCACTATAATTATAAACAATCAAATTTTAATTAAAAAAAATAGTAATATGTCATTCAGTTACAGAAAGAATAGATAAAGAACGTATTGAAAAAGAAATAAACTATAATTTTAAATAAATAATTTTTTTATTTATTTTTTTAAATTAAACTAATATGCAACAAAATATGCAAATGCAACAACCACAGTACACAATGATATTATTCCACCACAATTGAAAAATAATAAAATAAAAAAAAATATATATGTTACTATTTCATTCTATTAATTATTTTTATTTTATCTTTATCTTTATTTTTATTTTTATTTTTTTATATATACGGAACAAAAAATACTATTATATTATTCAACTATTGATTCAATATATTTTATAAATCTACTTTGGTAATCTTTTGGGTTAATTGCTGATATTTGAGTCTAACAAAGAAAAAAAAAGATGATATTAGTATTGAGACACCTTATTAAAAAAAAAAAAAAAATTTAATATTAAACTTACTCTATCAAATAACATTCCTTTTAAAGCATTTTCACCACGCTTTTTTAAATTATAAGTTGTTAAAATATCAATTAAACCTAAATAATAAACTATACCTCCATCACTTTCTTCTGTATTCGATTCATAAATTATATTTGAAGTTGATAATGGTGGTGGTTGTGGAGGGGTATGAGTACTTTCAACAATACCATTAAAATCCTTTTTGAAATAGGATATATCCTTTTTCTCAAGTGACTTTGGACCTTGAGATTCTTTAAGAGTTTGAATTGATTTCTTGTCACTTAAATGTAAACCAACCAATAAACTATAATCACATATACCATGGCTGCACATCCATTCAGAGTCGATTGATAACTGTTGTATAAATACTTTTTTTAATTTACCCAAATGAATCTTTCTTTTTAAATTTAAATCTTTGAATGTTAAATCCTGAGTTTGAATATTATTACTATTATCTACACCATTTATTTGACTGCTATTATAGCAACTACTATTACTACCAATACTTGTATTCAAACTATCTGTACCGTTTAGATGCTGTTGCTGTTCCTTGGCTAATTGTTGCTGAAATTGATTAACATCAACATATCTACCTATTGTTGAACCTTTTAAATCATATTTTTCTTTAATTTCCAACTTTTGTTCAGAATAGAAAAGATTGGCCATTACAACGAATATGATATCTCTATGGGCACTACTATAATAGGAAGCACCACTTAATTTTAAACGATATACTCCCATGAATCTTGGAAGCAAAGAATTTGGATATTTTTTAATGTGTTGATAATATGATGGAAATAATTTAGTGAATGTGTTATACTCGCTTGATGGAATTGTTTTTATAAAGTATTTACTGTCCTCTGATTTATAGAAAAAACTACCACTTCTACCCACAGTTTGAACCTCTAAAAACTTTACAATATCAGATATCTCTGGGCTGCCAATTGATTTGGTTCTAAGGAAATCTTTGTCAACATTATAATATTTTCTTATTTCTTTAAAAACCTTTGGTGAGAATATTGTAAACTGCCAATTATCTGATAATGAAGATGTTAATGATGCTGTAGATGATTTATTTGTAGTTACTGCTGGTGAGGTTATAGTTGTTATTTTTAATGAATCTGTTGTTGTTGTTACAGTTGCTGATGAACTTTCAGAAGTGGATACTGGTTGGTGTGGAACTTGTAGATGATGGAATTGATTTATAATCTGTTCTTCTAGATCTAAGTCTGAATCAATTTTGATTTCAATATTGGTTGCTTGATTAAAATCTTCATTTGAAAAATCACTAATACAAGCCCCGTCTTTTTGGTTTGTTGGTGTTTCTTCAATACTATTTTTATTATTTATATTTACATTATTTACATTTAAATTATTGCAATTATTATTACTATTATTATTTTGTCCATTGATAGCCTTTGAGTCAATATCACTTTCAAATAATTTTTTAAAACCAATAGTTAATAAATTAATATACTGTTGAGTTTCTTGATCTTGTACTAATTTTTTAGAATGATTTACACTAGCTGATGGTCTATAAAGGTTTTCTTCCATAACTTTTTTAGAATATTTTAAAACATTAAATGGATTAACTAATCTATATGATGATGATGAGGATGGTGTTGATGAATTATTAGGTTGTTGTGGTGATGTGGATGGAGGTGCATTATTTAATAACTTTGGTTCTAATGATACCGATGGTGGCTTAGTTGGTTGAAGATCTAACCATCTATTTGAATTGACCAAAGGTAAGTCAATGTCTTTTGGCTTTATCTGATCAATACCAATTTGTGGAGCTGGATCATTTTTAATTTGTGGTTGCTGTAGTTGTTGTGTCTGTTGTGGTTTTTCTGGTTGTTTTGGTTGTTGTGTTATGATTTGTTGGAGCTTTTGGAGTTGCTCCTGTTGTTGGAGATGTTGGCGTTGTTGGATTTTTAGGAGTTTTTGGAGTTTTTGGATTTGTTTTCTTTGTTTTTGTCGTTGGTATTTTTGGTATTTTTGGTTTTGTTCGATGTGTTTGAGTTGCAACTTTTGGTATTGTTGGATATGTTTGAGTTGAAGTTGCTGATGTTGGTTTTGGTGGATAAGTTGGAGATGGGATACCTGACTCCCCCAGTCGACGTTTACATTGGTTTTGGTGTCTTTGAAGCTACCAATATAAAATGATAAAACCAAACTGATGATAAAACCAACAAAAAATAAAAAAACACACATAAATAAAAAATCATACATTTTTATTTACAATTGTTATACAAATAAAATAAAATACCAAGATAAAATATAAAACTATATAACAAAAAATTGAATAAAACGAATACAAAAAAGATATATACAAAAAAAGATAAATACAAAAAAAAGTTATATATAAAAAAAAAAAATATTTACAAAAAAAAGATAAATACAAAAAATAAGATAAAAAAAAAAAGATATATAAAAAAAAAGATATGTACAAAAAAAAGATTATTTACAAAAAAACAAAAAAAAAAATAAAATGGAAATTTATACAAACAAAAAAGATAAATATTATTTACAAAAAAAATGGAAATATTTACAAGTGAAAAAACGAATGATTATTATTATATGTGAGTTATTGTAAATAAAGTTGATGAATGAAAAATTATATGTGTGTGGTATGAAAACTAAAATTTTTTTAAAATACTATTTTTTAAAAAATTAAAAAATTATAAACAATAAAAAAAAAAAATAAATAAATAAAATAAAACAAAAAAACAATTCTCTATTAAAGAGTGAGTTTTCTTAATAATCTATTATTATATATATTATATGAATTTCATTTGATATATTAGTTTCAACCTTATTTTATTTTTTTAAAATTTAGATTTATAATATTTATTTAACTTCATCTGGAAGTGTCTCATTCTCTGATAATGAATCAGTTTGGTTCGGTAATAGCTTAAGTGGCAGTTCATGTGGTTTCAATCCATGTTTTAATCCATGCAGTGGTGGTAACACTAACATTATCAATATTGATATTGATATTGGTCATCGTAGTAGAAGATGCTGTTAAATTTACTCTAAAAATAAATTATATAACCTCAAACTGATTCGAGTAAATATATTTATATTTTATCTGTGAAAAAAAAAATAAAAAAAAAATAACGTACATAAATATAATTTTATTTAATTTTATTTTCTTTGTATTTTTAAATTGATTCCATCATCATATTTATCGAAATTGGGTAAATTAATGATGGTCAAACCATTTATTTTTTCCTTTTATTTTTAAATCTAATTTAATTTTATATCTAATTTTAATTTATATTATTATTTATATTATTTTATTTTTTTTATTTGGTGATTGATATTTTAAATGATTAATTGCTAATTTAGATTGCTTCTCTTGATTAGTCTATATTATCTATTTATTTATCTATATATTTATTTATTTATTTATTTATTTATCTTAAAATATTTAACTTTTCTTCCATTCTTTGTCTTATCTCCTCTTCGATATTTTCAATTTTAAATTTTAATTGTGTATTTACATTTCTAACTGTTCCCAAATGAACCTTTTGAGTCAGTAATCTCTAATTTTCACAAACAATTAATTGTTTCTAATAATCTTTTTCCATTGCTAGCTCTCTTTTGCAATTCTATAACTTTCAAATTCATGTTCAGTCTCTCTGATCCTATCACCATTGATTTCTTATGAAGTATTCAATGGGATGATTGGTGAACTATTACCACCTGCATTTGAACTACCAACATTAGATTTTGATGAATTTGATGCTGCCGCTTTTAGTGGGTTTATTTGTTCTGTTTTCTCTTCGCATTCATCAGTTTGCTAAAAAACCAATGCTGATGGATCCCTATACCAACTGAAGTATCATGACCAGTGTTGAAAGATTGTTTGCTGAATTTATCTTGAAGAGTTGTAATCTCTTATTTAATACTGTGATTTTCGGATTGAAGACCTTCTAATTCTAATTGTTCTAAAAGTTCTCTTCTTTTTAAATAATTGCTTTTCTAATGAAATGTATATTATTTTTAATACTTGATCGTTTCCCTATTAAAGAATGTTATTTCAATTTTTTAATACTTGATCTTTTTCCAGATTATGAATCAGATATCTTTTTATTAAAGAATGTTATTTCAATTTTGTTTTCAGGTAGTCTTAGTGCACTACGTTTATATGAGTATTGCCTTGGTCTGATCTGCTGATGAGTCTGAAGAATCTTTCCAGTCTGAAGAGTTACCTGCTACTATTATACCTGTTGATATGCTAGTTGATCCACTTGTTGATGTGCGACCTGTACCACTTGTGCTACCTTCACCACCCACAGTAGCACAACCTGCAGCACCGGCAGCGATGGTCCTGAAAAATGTGAGGCGTTTTATTAATTATATGATAATAAGTCGAGTTTGGGTGTGACTGTTATTTATTAATGAGAACTGCCTTTGGTTTGACACTATATTGATTTTTAACTATTAATTTTTATAAAATGTTTTAATATTAGCTTTCTTAAAGGTTTCTAATAACTGAGGACTGATTATTGATTTACTGAGTTAAAAAAATGGTGAGAGATGCCAGTAGAAGGATGAAGCATAGTACTATATGAGAATAAAGCAATACCAATTAACTGTGGTGGATCATTTGTATTGTCTTCTTTACTATAACATCTAGGCACTTGTGAATTAGGATGAATTAAACTTTTCTGTTAAACCATATGTTTATGTATGGCAAGCGAAAGTTGGAGTTACTTTAAAGAATTTGTTTATTGAAACGACGACTTCATTTATGAAACTTGAACCTCTATCAGATACTAAATTTTTTGGGGGTCATATTTTAAATATATTTGATAAGCTAAAACCATTGGACTGTTTCACAATTTGAGCAATATTAACGAATTGAAGTTTACCCTTATCTAAACTATTTGTGTCTATCACTGTTGCTTGGGCCAAGGCAAATATATTGAAATTCATATAAATGGTTGATAAGATTGAATATCTTCATTAGTGTTTAGTATTTAGTTGGATCTAAGTTTAATCTTTTTTTTGCCAATGTTTTTTTTATACATGATAACCGTGCACTAGCGTCTATAAGAGCTGAACGGTACATCCATAACACTTTTGAATTTACATGAACTTGTAATTGATTTGAATTTTGCTTTATCTGATTTACTCGAGATTGAAAGACTTTGAAAGAATTTGAGTTTCTGCGACTTTGTGACTTTTTATGATAGTTATTGATATTGGTTTTGAGATTATAATATAGAAGCAATAGTTCGTGGTTGGATTAATTAGGCCAAATCTTTATATAGTTGATTAATATCCTTTCATTCATGATATCGACGACAGCAGATCCTGTAAGGGTATTGAATGGTTTTAATTTGGTAAATCTGTCTTTTGAAAATTAATAAAGTTAATTTAATTTATGTTAGTAATTCTGTTTCTATTTCCATAACGATGCCATTTTCTGTTTGTATATGGGTTTGTTGTTGCTGTTGTTGTTGTTTTAAAATAATGTATTAATTTACTTACTTGTTATCGAAAGGTTTTAATTTTAATATAACCTCCTCAACTTCACCTGTGGCAAATACACCTTCGCTTTTTTGTGTTTGAATATATCCAATTTTTTACTAAAGATTGATAGATATTGTAAATATTGATCATTAACTTCGCCCTGTGTTAATAAACTATAAACAAATAAGAATTAGTATATTTTTAACTTTAAATATAAAGGTGTTACGATATACATACGTTATTAAATCATCTGAAATTGAAACCTCGTCAATTATTTTATGTAATTTTTCAACTACATTTTTTCTGTTTGTGCATTTAAATTTCATTTATTGATAATTCTTGTAGTGTACGCATTTCTTTTGAAATACCTGCTAATTCATTTTGAAAACCATTTAACATTGTTTCAAATCCGACCAATAAAGATTTGCTTTCTGTGATTGGTTTATACATTAAATGAAAGTTTTCTCTTTCATTAGCATCTAGATAAATGATAAATATTAATATATATAAATAATTAAAACAAGAGAATATGTTTAAAAAACCATATGATACTTACAATCGGGTAAAATATCTTGATAGAGTGCTTTCATTTCTTTGTCACATTTTTCTAGTGATTCTAACCTGTTTTGAATATTGAATTAAATCTATGTTATTTTGTTGAAATCTTGAACTACTTGTTCTTTTTCTGAATATTCCAATAATTTCTTTTCAAAGTCATCGATATAGTCCATTACATTAATTGTAGTCAAATCTAAATCGAATTTAAATTCCATATTCTTGTTATTGTCATCATCTTCTTCTTGAGCCTCGCCAACATCACTATTGTCAAAACCAACACCAACCCCTCTTTCATTGTTAAATTCATTTAATGATTCGTTTAATTCGACTGCCTCATCTTCCTCATGGACCCTGAATCCTTTTTCAACCTCGTCATATGATGTTAAATTATTACTTGTTGTCGAATTAACTGATGATGTAGCTACAAAACTATTGAAATATTACTATTCTTTAATGAAGATGATGGTGAAGTTGTTATAATAGTTGGAATGTTTGTTAATGATGCTGTTGATGATGTTAAATTATTTCTATTTGAATTTAAACCACTGTGTACCATTGCATGAACTATTTAATGTATTATTATTATTTGAACCATTGGCATTATTATTTGAATTATTATTGGATGTGCTATAGTTTCCATTATTAAAATTATTTATGTGTTTTTTTGTTTGTTGTGAATTGAAAAAAATAAAAATAAAAAAAAATTAAAAAAAAAATTAAAAAAAGAAAAAAATTTTAAAAAAATTATTATTTTTAGATTTTTTAAAAATAAATTATTTTAAAAATTTAAAATGGCTATGATAACGTGTTGATATTTACTAAAAATTGGGGTAGTATACTTTGAAAGAATCACAAACAACACCCAAAGACAGCTTATGATGAAAATGAAATTAGAAAACAATTAAATCAGGTATTATTCCCCTACTGTGATAACGATAATTGGTAAAAACTGAAGATAATCATAATTTTTCAATCACTTAATAAACACTAAAGTAACAAGTCACTCGGTTGTAGAAAATATATTAAAAGTAATAATATCGAAAGTGAAATGTATATCCAATAAGAGACTAAGATTGAACCTAGAAACATTACCAGCAAGTCTTAAATAATATAATAATAAAACAACAAAGAACTACCATCAAAAAATTAAATAAATAAAATAGTTCTATGTTAATAGCATTAAAAATATACAAATAAATTACTTTTTTTTTTTTATGAATATTTTATTTTTCTTTATTATAGTCAAATAAAATTTTGTTTATTTATTTATTATTATAAAAATTAAATTATTTTTTAAAATTTTGATAATTGTTTTTAAGTGTACTCGACTTGTGATATTACCTTTTTTTCTTGCTACTTCTAAACACCATTAAATTTTGTTACAATATAAGCTATTACGGGCTGGCAATGGTGCTTTGGAAATTAATTCTGATATCTGGTTCGATATTTTTCCATTCATTACTATATCGAAGCTTTGAGTCATTTGATGCTTTATTAACCATCTCAAGGTATGAGGCAAATGAAGATCTGCTTATTTCAGGCTTGTTATTTTCTCTTTTTGATTTATGAAAGCCTTCAAAAACTATTGCAAGTCGCTCTGCTTTGAGACTTCTAGACTTTTATTTAAAAAAATTCTTGAATGATGGAGAAAGTTGATCTAAATCTTCAAGAATTGCGATGATATGAACCATATGGTATAAACGACAATCATCACAAGTGTAAACTAAATCGAATAGTAAAGAAATGCTTTTTTCAGTTTCTTCAACATAATAGAAATAGACTGATTCCTTGGAATCTTTAACTTCTTCCCAACAGTATTTTTCTGGAAAGGCAATTGGGTCTACAATTAATTTGAGGCTATCAGAGATGAATTTACGGTTTTCCTGCGGTAGCATCTGAACTTCCCCATTCTTTGATAATCATTTTAGTTAAAAAAGAGCTGGCTTTATCCTTAACACTATTTAAATATTTTACACTACCATGGCACTTGAGAGCAAGATTTAATTGGTAGTTAATAGCTGAAGCATATTGGTTGTGGCTTAAATCTGATAATAAATCTTTATTTGAGACATGGTCATCAAGGATATCTAAGGCTGCCAGCTTCAATTTGTAATGACCCGATACTTGCAAAGCTCTGTTAACTTTCAACATTTTTGAGTTTGGTACAAGGAAAAATATTTCATTTGGATCAGCTTTATTTTCGATTTCCATTTCATCAGTTTCAGTGTTTGCAGGAAAATTGATTGGAACATCGCATTGGTTACTAATTTTTTTATTTTTTCTATTATTTCTTGGTTTGACCATTTTATAAAAAAACTCTTTTATTATTTATTTTATATATTTTTTTTTTTTGGTTTTATTAGGGTAGAAAATTCAGTTTATTTTTTGAAAAAAAGGGTTTCTAAGTTCGGGGTCAACCTAGGTTTTATATTATTGTTTTTTTT